CTAGGTATCCCATGGCACCACTAAAGAAAATTTTCTTATTTTTTTATGAAGCATAGCACTGATACCTAAACCCATAAAGAAAATTATAGATGAATATAACATAAATATTGATACAAAGATACTAAACAAAATAATAAAAACAGAATATCCAGCACCACAAAGAAAATAATATGCAATAACCAAGTGGGATTAATTCTAGGAATGTAAGTTGGTTCAATATTAGGAAATTTATTAATATAAAACACCACATCAACAGATGTAAGGAGAAGAATTATGCAATTATCTCCATACATGTTTAAATGGCCTCTGACAAAATTCAACACCCTTTCCTGTTAAAACACTCAAGAAAATAGGAATTAAGCCAGTCTTGAAGCTACTATTTCATTTGGTGGGGAAACATTGGAGGTATTTACAAAGATCAGGAACGAGGCAAGGTTGCCTACTGTCTCCACTACTATTCAACATGTTACTGGTGGCATGAGTCAAAGCAGTTAGGTAGGAGAAATCAACTAAAGGCAAGAGAATTGGAAAAAAAGAAGTAAAACTATCTCTAATTGAAGATGATCTGATAGTATATCTAAAATCCTAGAGATTAATAACAATACTAACTCAAATGTTTAAAAAAATTAAACAAAGAAGAAGGACATGAACTTAACATACAGAAATCAACAGCCTTAATATACATAAATAATTAGAGGATATAAAGTAGAAAAAGCCCCACTTTAGGAACAATCTTAACAACAAGTGTGCAAAACTCTTACGAGGAAAACTTTAAAACACTTCTGAAAGTCACAAAAGTAGACTTGAATAATGAAAAGACATCTCTTTGTTCTTGGATAGGACAGGTCAACATCATAAAGATGTCAGTTCTACCTAACATCAATTTAATGCAATCTTTATTTTTAAAAGAACAAGCTTCCTTGTTGAGATAAACAAGTTAATAATAAAGTGTTTTTATTAAAAGTGAGAATAGGGCTTCCCTGGTGGCACAGTGGTTGAGAGTCCGCCTGCCGATGCAGGGGACACGGGTTTGTGCCCCGGTCTGGGAAGATCCCACATGCCGCGGAGCAGCTGGGCCCGTGAGCCATGGCCGCTG